ACCACTGAGTTACATACCCACACCACATTTACAAATTTCCAATCACCCACCTCCTTGAGAATTTTACTTTTGGTCAAAGTATTTGTTTCCTTTTGTGTTGTAAGCTTCCCTGTCCTCTTTCCTGCCATCTAATTATCTTCATGAAAAAGAGAAGACACCATAAATTCAGAAGGCAACACTGTTTATAGCTCAAATCTCCTCATTTTTTCCATCACCATGGCCACTGGGCTATATGAAGGTAATGTCTTCCCTCCATGATATTAACCTCATCTCTGTGCACCTGTGGCTGGCAAGGTCTGAATATCCATTTCCACACAAGAACCAGAGGGATCTCTTCAATCTACTGAGGTTTGAAACAACTACAACTCTCACACTGTGCTTATAGGAATGAGTTGATTAAAAAAAAAACCTCCAGAAAAGAGGGAAACTCTGCTGGGTAGATCTCTCAACTTTGCCCCCCACAAATATTACATTAGGTTAACCATCTAAAACTTCCCCTAAACAGGGAAAGAGAGGAGGAGGAGATACAGGAAATCTGTGTCCCATCTTCCACTTCTTCCAGCAGATCCTCATCTCCAGGAAGCTGTGGGGCAACTTCTCTGCCTGACTGACCTGTTTCTGAGTTTGTTCTTAGCACCCAGCACAGAGTGGGCATCCACAATGTGGGCTGAGAGTGAGTGGAAGAGGAGGAGGGAGGGGCAACACTGAGCTGAGAGGTAGAGTGACTGATGGGTGACATCACTGCCTGGCTCCAGACCTTTTGCTGTTACTCCCTATGCCTATTATTACTCTTCACTGATAACCTCCCACACAGCCAGCTGCTCCTTCTGCTTGGACCCTTGTAGTGAGGGGTCCCCAACATCTGCTGAGCTGCATGGGCAGGGAGGATCAGGTGGGACAAGTGTTGACTCATAAAGGAAGCTCTTTAGAGACTTGAGCCTCCCCTCCCTGCCTTCCCCTTCCCTTAGATATTCAACTCAGGTCCTTGGGTGCTCCTCCAGGGATGTCTCCAGAATGCTGAGTTTATAGGGAGAGCAACTTGTACATTCCTACTCCCCACCAAGCCCTTGCCAACCCTCTGGAGCGCGGTCCTTTTCATCTCCCCTCCCTTCCCATTCACAATCCTTTTCAGTGGTGCCCATACCCTGGTCACTGGCCTGTGCTCTATAGACTCCTCACCATCAATCCCCCGCCGATGAAGCCAGGCATGAGCAGGACTTGCAAGCTGAGTTGGTCACTGCTCCAGGTCTTCCCATCAGGCACCAATAGGAGGGCATTGGCCACGATGCACACTAGGGAGAGAGATATTAGGGAGAGGCCCACCCAGTGGGCACACTTCCTTGGGTTCATGGTGAGACAGTGAATGAAAGTGAGCCTGAAATAAAATGAAAGTGTTCCTGGCCACAGAGGAACACAGGCTAAAATGTGAGTACAGGTCAGAGAAAAGCTGTGGTAGAAACTGGCAGGATCAGAATGATAAGGGGAGGCCCTATCACCAGCTGCAGCTGGTGAGGAGAGGGGGTGGATGTG